CCACCAAGAAAGAACGCGGACGCACGTGCGTCTACCCATCTCTAGTTAGCTGTTTGTCTCCGGCGGGTTGCATCATCGAAGCGCCTACAAGTGAACTTCGTTAACGCTTGCTCGCTCGCTAATTCCGTTATTTTTTTTTTTGTTTTGTTTAGTTTTTTTGTTTTTTTGTTGTTTTTTTGTTTTTTGTTTAGTCTTCTCGGCCTGTAGCGTCGCCGTCGACGCCATACCACATGATACCCGTGCGTGGTCAAATCACGTACGATTACGGAACGCCAGTCGTGCCTGCCTTTCGAGACTCGTTCTAAAGAGATATACGCTACCAACGAAAAGGTGTTGGCCGTTGTCTGTCATTCAGTAATAAAGTCAAAATGATCGAATCTTAAAAGACACCACAACGTGGCGTAATGGTTAGTAAACTTGTTTCGCTAGAACCTTTACGACTGAGTTGTGAGTTCGATTCCAAATTGTCGCCTTAAACTTATGGCCCTGTACTATATCTAAGTTACGCTTAGAAAATCACCTTAGTCTTTCTGATGGTAATGATATTAATCGTTTCCCTACAAGGAAATATTTAGCATTCATTAACTGACCAGCCAGTACCGCTTCCGGTTTAAATTTACAAAATCTTTCTCTTCAAACAATTTTTCAGGAATGTCACGCGGAAATGATAGGGCCACTGAGAGTTTTTTTTTTTTTATTTGATTATTGTTTATTTAAAATAACTGGAAAGTAACGGCTCCAGGATTTTTGCTGATTACCAAAAATGAGGAAGATATAATTATACCAATTTTGTCTACATTGGACTAAGTGAGAAGTAATTCGTATTCAATCTATCTATCTATCTATGTTCATTCATTATCTATCTATCTATCTATCTATCTATCTATCTCAGTCAATCTATCTATCTATGTTCATCCATATCTATCTCTCTCTCTATCTACCTCTCTCAGTCTATCTGTCTACATTCATGTCTATCTATCTATCTATCTATCTATCTATCTATCTATCTATCTATCACAGTCCCTCCATATCTATCTGTCTATATTCATTAATATCTATCTCACTCTATTCATATTTATCTATCTCATCCTCTTCATATATGTCTATCTATCTAGCTATCCATCTCACTCTATCCATGTCTGTCTCACCCTATTCATATCTACCTACATATCTATGTATATGTCTGTCTGTCTATTTATCTGTATATCAAGCGATTGTAAAGAAAATGATTGGACTGATATGGGGAGATATAAGCAAATTGGGATAGATAGATAGATAGATAGATAGATAGATAGATAGATAGATAGATAGATAGATAATGAAAAGGGCAATGTACACAACCGCATTTCAACAAATAATAAACAATCCCCGATATCTCCCATGTTTGACTGGGTCCGTGTCGTTGAAGGCTAGATGGAGAAAAGGTCCCCCCACACACACACACTGTGGGGATGGGTATATCTAGCGTGCTTAAAATTCAACAGTAAGCAAACTTGATTCCGCGCGCTATTTCAACCGCCATGTGTGAATTAATTCGCCAGATTATCATGGACGCTTCACTCGCCTCCTCCTCCTCATCATCCTCCTCCTCATCACCCTCCCCCTCCTCCTCCTAAACCCCCTCCCCTTCCTTCTCTTCCTCATTCTCTTCCGGGAACGTGAACACGTTGACCTCTTATGTCTTGTCTGTACTTGGTTCGTTCCAAGTTAGACCCCGATGATGGTGACGCCTTCGTAAAAAAAAAAAAGAAGTCTATTAAATACTCAAATAAATAAATAAGAACACGGAACAAATACAATGATCTAATCTATATTATACAAAAAGGAACTGATTCTCTGTCCGGCACATCCTGTAGGCGTGTGACTTTCCATTTTCGTATCTAATATAGTCTCGGCGTATGTCGGTGTTGAGCGTGAATGAATTTCATGTGCTTGTGCCATTTAAAACACACACACACATACACACGCAATCACGCGCACACACAATTTAAGTTGAAATATGATATTGGAGTAATACATTACCATCCCACTCAGTTTGGATAGCTCCTACCTTGGGCCGAGCAATGAAATCAAAAAATTTCTTTCTTTCTTTCTTTTTTTCTTTCTTTCTTTCTTTCAAACACTAATTTTCTGCCTTTCTTTCTCAGGGTTGCTTTCTCTCTCTCTATCGTTCTCTCTTCTGTCTTTAGTACTTTTCTATCTTGTCTTTTACTTAGGGTTGCATTTGGTTTTTAGTACTTTCTTTCTTTCTTCCAAAGGCTTTCATTCTTTCTTTCTTTCTTTCTTTCTTTCTTTCTTTCTTCCAAAGGCTTTCTTTCTTTCTTTCTTTCTTTCTTTCTTTCATAGTATTCCTTTCTGTTTCTCTTTCTTAGGGTTGCCTTCGGTTTTTTAGTACTTTCTTTCTTTCTTTCTTCCAAAGGCTTTCTTTCTTTCTTTCTTTCTTTCTTTCTTTCTTTCTTTCTTTCTTCCAAAGACTTACTTTCTTTCTTTCTTTCTTTCTTTCTTTCTTTCTTTCTTTCTTTTTCTTTCTTAGTATTCCTTTCTGCTTCTCTTTCTTAGGGTTGCCTTCGGTTTTTTAGTACTTACTTTCTTTCTTTCTTTCTTTCTTTCTTTCTTTCTTTCAAACACTAATTTTCTGCCTTTCTTTCTCAGGGTTGCTTTCTCTCTTTCTATCGTTCTCTCTTCTGTCTTTAGTACTTTTCTATCTTGTCTCTTACTTGGGGTTGCATTCGTTTTTAGTACTTTCTTTTCTTTCTTCCAAGGCTTTCTTTTCTTTCTTTCTTTCTTTCTTTCTTTCTTTCTTTCTTTCTTTCTTGCAAAGGCTTCCTTTCTGTCTTTCTTTATTGGGGTTGCTCACTCACTCACTCACTCCCCCCACCTTTTTGTCTACTCTTAGGCTTGCCTTTTCTGTTTTTAGTAATTTCTTTCCTCCAAAGGCTTTCTTTTCTACTGTTGTTTCTTAGGGTTGCCTTCTGTTTTTAGTAATTTCAGTAAGAAAGAAAAAAGAAAGAAAGAAAGAAAGAAAGAAAGAAAGAAAGAAAGTAAAGCCAAAGAAAGAAAGAAAGAAAGAAAGAAAGAAAGAAAGTAAGAAAGCCAAAGAAAGAAAGAAAGAAAGAAAGAAAGAAAGAAAGTAAAGCCAAAGAAAGAAAGAAAGAAAGTAAAACCAAAGAAAGAAAGAAAGAGGTTAAGTTAGAAATTAAAAAAGAAAGAAACAACAAAATAAAAGAGAAAGAGAAGTCGAAATAAAGAAAGAGAGTGAGAGAGACAAGTCTACGAAAGGAAGAAAGACAAAAGAAAAATTAAAGAAAAAGAAGGTCAAGAGAAAGAAAGGCAAACAAAAAAAAGGCCAGAAAGAAAAGCAAGTAAAAGAAAGTTCAATGAAAGAAATGCAAAAAAAAAAAAGTCCAAAAAAAAGAAGGGCCAAAGAAAGAAAGAGACACGCCCACAACTTGAACTTCCCGAGTGTCATCACAGTGAAATTAAAAAAGATCGACGCTTTTTCTTACACTTATCACTCACATGTTCAGAAGTAGAGAAAAATCATCCCATTTAAATAACGTAAGATCTGGAAGCGGCCACAAAATTGATAAAGAAATATACCCTCCCTGTATTTATCGATAGCGTAGGTGTTTTTATAAAATCATTTCTTATAAATCCACATAGGCACATTTCCCGATTCATATGTACCTTGTTTTCATGGTCCAACGGAATTAGAAGCCGAGGGTCCTCTGTCAAGACTTTTCCCAGATATTTAAACTTCCGCGTCTGCTTGATTCTAGTGTTCCCGACCTGCAAATCGCATTTCGGGCTCATCCTCTTACAGATGACCATGGATTCTGTCTTCTTGTAGTTTATGCTTAGTCCTTTCTTCACACTCTCCGTCTCTACCTTCTGTAATTTCTTTTCTTTTTTCGGATAAGGAAAGACCAAGAACCAAAAATTATTTGCTGACATTTATATATTTCTATATTAATTTCAGAAATTCTATGAGAAATTGCTTGTTTTAATCCAGGAACTGATTTCGGTTTGAACCTGTAAACAAGATTTTTCAGTACTCCCCTACAAGAAAAGGTCTGCTGGTGTTAAGTCTGATGATCGTGATGGTGATCATGGTTCTCCACAACTTCCTATTCATCGTGGCCTTTAGCAGCTTTTTTTCCCCGTTGCCAAACCTAAACTCTGTTCCACCATCCATTTACAAAAATCGCGTCAGGTCAGTGGCTTCCTGCCTTTCTCTGGCTATGTTGCCCTCGATCTGCCTTTTGAGTGTTAAGTTTTCCAAACCAGCCGTCCTCATTATATATTCAAGAAATTTCAACTGTTCTTATAGTTTAAGATTTCCCCGTTGCTGACTCACTTCGCCCATGGAATCCTCAATATCCTGTAGAGAACCACTTTTTTGTTGCCACCAGTTGTCTTTTCATCTGTGGAGAGATTCACTACCATATACAAGAGGAATGATATCACATAGCAATACATCACTCTTCTTTTTACACACCTTGTAGATCAGGGTTTTTCAAACTGGGCGATATCAGCCACCGGTGGGCGATTTCAACTGTTGGATGGGCGATGGAAATTTTGGTGAACGCTATGAGATTTTGAGGATTAAAAAAGTATTTTAACATATGCTACCCGAAAAAAAATATTCAAATGAGATATGCAAAGAACCTGTATATAAAAAAAATTGGTTAGATGTGGATAACTGGTTCACATTCCTAAATAAGATATAAATATCCGATCAAACAACGAATATTTTGGTATTTTCTATAGTATTGAGAACGGTCATTAACATTCAAATAGTTCTTTAGACAAAATAACTTTTTTTTTTCGGATGAAAAATTGTATTGACACAAATGAATTTAGACTTGAACAAATAATTAAACTCTGAGCTTTAAATAAACGGGACACGACAGTTTTTGTTTTTTTTTCTTTATTTTTTCTGGAACATTTTTATTTCAGGCTGCAATCATTCTTATGGTTAAACGTTTCATTTAAATATTTAATAATAATAATAATAATAATAATAATAAGCTAACAAATTCAAAATGGAGTTTCAAATGGGCGCAGAAATACAAGTAAAGCACAATAGACCGGCTGAAGCTGCAAAATACTTAAAAAAGAAAGCAAAGAGAAATGCAACCGACCAGATACAGAAACAATGGCAAGATAAACCGCTTCATGGTCAATACTCTGCCCGTACCAAACAAGCTGACGTAGACAAAACCCATAACCGTCATTGGCTACGTAGTGCAGGGTTGAAAGCTGAAACTGAAGGTTTTATTCTTGCTGTACAGGACCATTGCTTGTTAACTAGAAATTATCAACCACACATATTGAAAAATTGTGTTAACCCGAGATAGATAGATAGATAGATAGATAGATAGATAGATAGATAGATAGATAGATAGATAGATAGATAGATAGATATGAATAGGGTGAGACAGACATGGATAGCTAGATAGATAGACATATATGAAGAGGATGAGATAGATAAATATGAATAGAGTGAGATAGATATTAATGAATATAGACAGATAGATATGGAGGGACTGTGATAGATAGATAGATAGATAGATAGATAGATAGATAGATAGATAGATAGATAGATAGATAGATAGATATTAACTTACTGAGATAGATAGATAGATAGATAGATAGATAGATAGATAGATAGATAGATAGATAGATAGATAGATATTAACTTACTGAGATAGATAGATAGATAGATAGATAGATAGATAGATAGATAGATAGATAGATAGATAGATATGTAGGTAGATATGAATAGGGTGAGACAGACATGGATAGAGTGAGATGGGCTAGATAGATAGACACATATGAAGAGGATGAGATAGATAAATATGAATAGAGTGAGATAGATATTAATGAATATAGACAGATAGATATGGAGGGACTGTGATAGATAGATAGATAGATAGATAGATAGATAGATAGATAGATAGATAGATAGATAGATAGATAGATATTAACTTACTGAGATAGATAGATAGATAGATAGATAGATAGATAGATAGATAGATATTAACTTACTGAGATAGATAGATAGATAGATAGATAGATAGATAGATAGATAGATAGATAGATAGATAGATAGATATGTAGGTAGATATGAATAGGGTGAGACAGACATGGATAGAGTGAGATGGATAGCTAGATAGATAGACATATATGAAGAGGATGAGATAGATAAATATGAATAGAGTGAGATAGATATTAATGAATATAGACAGATAGATATGGAGGGACTGTGATAGATAGATAGATAGATAGATAGATAGATAGATAGATAGATAGATAGATAGATAGATATTAACTTACTGAGATAGATAGATAGATAGATAGATAGATAGATAGATAGATAGATAGATAGATAGATAGATAGATATTAGATAGATGAGATAGATAGATAGATAGATAGATATTAACTTACTGAGATAGATAGATAGATAGATAGATAGATAGATAGATAGATAGATAGATAGATAGATATGTAGGTAGATATGAATAGGGTGAGACAGACATGGATAGAGTGAGATGGATAGCTAGATAGATAGACATATATGAAGAGGATGAGATAGATAAATATGAATAGAGTGAGATAGATATTAATGAATATAGACAGATAGATATGGAGGGACTGTGATAGATAGATAGATAGATAGATAGATAGATAGATAGATAGATAGATAGATAATGAACAGACTGAGATAGATAGATAGATAGATAGATAGATAGATAGATAGATAGATAGATAGATAGATAGATAAGGGAAGACCAAGAACAACTTCGACAGTAAAATTAGGAAGTGACCACAAGACAATATTTATCTAATATAAAATTGTTTTTACTGGTTCTATAACATTGACTATTTCGAATTTATGAAAGCAGGAAATGTGCCCGTCAAAATATAATATTTCTGCTTTTCAATATTTACTATACTGTTGGGCGCTGGAAAAACTTTTAGTGTAAAAGTGGACGATGACGGAAAAAAAGGTTTGGGAAACTTTGCTTTAAGCTGTAAATTCATTGAAAATATACCGAAACAAGGCGGACGGTGTGTAATTCAAATATAGGTTACAATTAAAAATAAAACTAAAAATAGAACAGTTGTGGCGGGAAAATGTTTGTTTCGCGCCTCTATAAAACATTCTGCTTTGAAAGTAAACACACGACATTTTTAGTTTTTATTGGCTAAAGAACGTATACGAATATATGCCTTCTTATCCTGCCCGTCACTTATACAGCCATTAATTCATTCCTACACATCCGTTTCGTTTTCTCTTGGTGTGACCACATTTGGGATCGGTCGAGGACGTTGTACACTTTTAAAATATGTGTTGCATTGACACAAATGAATTTACACATGAACAAATAATTAAACTAGCTTTGAGCTTTAAATAAACGGGCCAGGATGATTATTCTATTCACTTTTTTTTTATGAAGGGTGAGTATGGGAGACAAACTGGTACATTTTTATTTCAGGCTACGATCATTCTTATGATTAAACGTTTCATTTTGAAAACGTTTTATTTAATAATAATAATAATAATAATAATAAAAGTGGTTGAAATAAGGATGTCCCGGAGAAGGGAAATTTTTCTCATCCAGAAGAAAATTCATTCTACCCTGTCTGTTTGAAACTGAAAGGTGAATACCTAAGGTAACAGAGATGTATTTATATGTATCAAACTTGTATATGAAAAGTCTGAGATAGATAGATAGATAGATAGATAGATAGATAGATAGATAGATAGATAGATAGATATTAACTGACTGAAATAGATAGATAGATAGATAAATAGATAGATATTAACTGAAATAAATCAATTCTCGCTAAATCAATTACGACTGAGTAGTGAGTTCGATCCTCACTGTATACTTTTGGCCTCGTGCCACATCTAAGATACACTTAGAAAATTTCTATAAGTTATATACACCCAATCAATGTACAATAAATGTGTGTGTGCGTGTGTGTGTGTGTGTACACACCATTTTCTACTTGATTTTACCTATTTTCTGGAATGAGTCCTATAGACTAAAATTCAACAAAATAAAAATTGATGAAATTTTCGTTATTTCTTTTGAAGAAAGAAAGATAATAAAATGTTTAAAAAAACGAATGCAGGCAAAGAAAAAAGGAAGTGATTAAATAAATAAATAAGGGATGAATGAATGAATAAATGAATGAAAGAGAGTAAAGAAATAAAAAAGAGAGTAAAGAAATAAAGAAAATAGAAAAAAAGAAAGAAAGAGAGTAAAAAAGAAAGAATGAAATAAAGAAAGAAAGAAAGAAAGAAGCCAAAGTAGAAGGGAAGGAAAATGGTAGAATGAGAGAAGCAAGAAAAAAGAAAAAGAAAGAGAACAATTAAAGGGAGAGTTAAAAAGTAAGCAGATTGTGAAGTAGAAAGAAAGAAAGAATGAAAGAAATAAAGTAAAAGAAAGAAAGAGAATAAAAACATATAAATAAAGAATGAAAGAAAGAAAAAGAAAGAAAGAATGAAAGAAAGAAAATAAAAAAAGAAAGAATGAAAAAAAGTAAAAAAAAAAAATGAGTATAAAGAAATAAAGAAACAAAAAACAATGAAAGAAAGAAAAAACAGAGTAAATAAATTAAAGAAAGAAAACCATTTAGCCAAAAAGGAAAAATAAAAACCAAACAAGTAAAAGTCCGAAAGAAAGAAAGAAAGAAAGAAAGAAAGAAAGAAAGAAAGAAAGAAAGAAAGAACGAAAGTAAATAAAATTATGGGAAAGGAAGAAGTGACGGGACAGAAAGAAAGAAAGAAAGAAAGAAAGAAAAAAAGAAAGAAAAAAAGAAAGAACGGACGAAAGCAAATAAAATTATGGGATTTTTCTTTATGACGGGACACTGAAAGAAAGAAAGAAAGAAAGAAGAAAGAAAGAAAAGAAAAGAAAGAAAGAAAAAAAGAAAGAAAGAAAGAAAGAAAGAAAGAATAGATTGGAGAAAGGACGAGAGAAAATAAAATGAACGGAAAAAGGAAGAAGTGAGGTTAAAGAAAGAAAGAAAGAAAGAAAGAAAGAAAGAAATGGAAGAGGAGATATCATTAAAAAGAAATAGAAAAAGAAATGTATAGAAATAAAAGATATGGGTAAAGAAAGAAAGAAAGAAAGAAAGAAAGAAAGAAAACCTAAATGAAAGAAAAATGATAATAAAAGAAAAAGAAAAACGCAAAATTCAAAACAAAGACCATAAAAATGCTTATTTTTTTTTTTTTTTTCAAAAAAATTTTTTTTTTTTTGTAAGAGGTGCAGAGAGGAGGAGATGTTTTGTTTTCCAAATTATTCGTCTGCCTGTGTTTGGTCAATCGCAGGACAAAGAAAATCCGTCCAAGCTCCTTGCCACTCCTGAAACATCCTTGAATTGCAACCAAACAAATGCAAAGAAACGTCTTATTTGCCAAGAAGGTGTGTTTCTTTAGTAGTCACTATTGTTTTTGCAATTACAGTTGTTGTTTGTAGGAAAATAAAAGTTGAATTAGGTCGATTGTAGTTCTTCAAGCTTAAAATAAAACGGAAGAAGAAGGTCCATTTCTTTTCACAGGACAAATTACACAATTTGTTGTGGGGAAATCTTGGGAAACTAAATGGAATTAAAAATTTATTCCACGGGAACAAGTGACAGCAAATCCATTCGGATCTTTTTTGCCTTTTGTTCAATTTTACACGAGCAGCGGAAGTTTACGAAGTAAAATCCAAAAGCCGTCACCTCCAAAAATACGTTAGCAAAATATTTTGGCATTTAAAGAAAAAAAAATAGATCAGCTATGAGTAACCCGTTTCGATCATTTTACCGCCTGAGGTGATTTTCTAAGCATAGATTAGATGTGGCACAAGGCCGAAAGTATGGAGCACCGGTGGATTGAACAGTAAGGATTGAACTCACTATTCAGACGTATCTGACTTAACGAGACAAGCTTGCTAACCCTTACACCACTTCGAAGTTCCCAAGTTTACCGCCTGAGATATGACATCACAAAGCTCGCCACACTCATCGACAGAGATGTTTCGACTTTAAGATTTCTCATCGTCAGTATGGCTGCTCGTTTCCGGGCAAGTCTATCTATTTAGGCCCAATTTTGTTTGTCACGTCGCCAACCTACTGCGGAGTGTGTGTTAATTATAGTTTTACCGTTTGTGAATTCGGGGTCGTCCTTCTCCTACCCCGGTTGCCAACCACGTCAAGAGTGTAGCCTGTCTCCCACCCATTTAACCCATTACTGGGAGGGAGAAGGGATGGATTCATACCTTTCCCAAAGTGGATGTAACGATCCCGAAAGGAATTCGATCTCGACTCAACGATTTTTTCTTCCGAGCCTCTAAACATTGAGCCATCTGCGCATCCACCAGGCTGAACTATTAAACAAAATGAAATAAGATGAGTTAAAGGTAATTCTTTGTTGAAGGTATTTACTCCTATCTTAATAGTAAGTCTAATCGGTCCGATAAGGTTAAATTGGCAGCTGATCTAAAAAAAAATGACCTAAATTCTGTTGTTAACTGGAGCAAGCAATGGCTTATGGAGTATTGCTGCCATATATGGTCCGGTGCCCCTTCTGTTTGTATCAATGTTCTTGATAACATCCAGAGACGGATATGCAATGTAATCGGCCCTGATCTGGCATCTCGTCTGCAGTCGCTCTCTCACAGCCGTTCCGTCGCCTCCTTCTGTCTTTTTTACAAATACTTTCATGGTAACAGCTCCGATGAGCTGCTTTCTCTGGTTCCCAGACTTCATGAATTTAAGCGTTCTATTGGCCGGCATCTCGCTCACAACTTCTCACTGTCGAAACTGTTAAATGTAGCCGTCTCTTCTACCCCAATAGCTTCATGTCTCGCACCTCTCGCCTGTGGAACTCCCTCCCCTTTTCCTGTTTTCCTGATAGCTATAATCTCCAACTATTCAAATGCAATGTGAATCGACGTCTCCAGATGCCTTGATCTATCCCCTATCCTTCTCTTCATCCTTTCTTCTATCACTCCTATTTGCTCTCGCTCCAACTCTCTGTAACCCCTTGCCTGCTAGTGGCTTCCCGCCTTGCTTGGGGTGAAACGATAAAAAAAAATCAATTTTGATGCCTCCAAAGACGAAACAGTTCTCTATTAATCATCTGAGAAAATCCATTCTGCCTTCCATCAGTATGGCTAATGCCAACCCTCAGGAGTGTAACTAGTTGCGTTTTCTCGGTCTAACGTTTTCATAAAGTAGAAAGTCTATATTGAATTGAATCAATTGCTAAATCTGCTGCTAGAAAAGTTGGTTCACTGTGTCGTGCTAAACAATTTTTCTTGCCAGACTCTATCTTACATATTTATAAATCTACCATTTGTCCATGCTTAGAATATAGCTGCCATATATGATCTGGTGCCCCTGCTAAATATTTACAGATTCTTGATAAAATCTGCAATGTTATTGCTTCTGTCCTGGCATCTCAACTTCAGTCACTTTCCCACCGTAGCTTCCCTCCGTCTATAAATACTTACTAATGCTAATTGTGAACTCTTTAACTAGATTAGACTAGACTAGGCTAGATACATTTAAGCGCAGTACTCGATTGACAGCGAGGTCTCATCATTTTACAGTTGAAATGATGAGATACAACCGTAAGTTCTATGTCAACAGTTTCTTTTCTTGCACTTCTCGCTTATGGAACTCACTCTCTTTCCGGCTTCTTGCTTTCTAGTTAAGCATAATCTTCAAAAATCTAAATGCAATGTCAATCGTTATCGTCTGTTTTCTTAATTTCTGTTCTTTTATTGTTCCCGCTCCTTAATATATTTTTTCCTTTTTTATATATTCTTTCACACTCACTACCCACCCTGCAGGCGGTTTTGTTGCCTTATTTGAGATGAAATAATATTTTATAAAAAGTTACTTCAGCCATTTTCGCTACAGGAAACGATACACGTAAACATCTGCCTTAGAAATGGAGATAAGATGTTATGAACGTTTCCTGTTACTAAAACGAAAGATGTTTACACGTATGATCTTCCCTAGAAAAAAAAATGTCAATGGTTTAAAATACGGAAAAAGTTACCTTCTCGAAAAATTCTAGAAACATTGTAGTTAATCATTGTTTATATGTGCGGTTATGTGAGAGAGAATGTGGGTGAACAAGTGAGGACAACATTTTTATAAACGTTATTTTCATCATGAAATTTAGTGTACTATTCAGAAAGAAAAACCGGATACGGACTGGGGTTTACCCATGACTGAATTACATCAGCATGAAAGTAAACATTACACCTAATGTCATTAGATACCATTCGTCTTTTTAATACTCATGAAAGAAGCTTTGATTCACTCTGATATATAAAACTTAAAACGTGAGAAAGAAGAAATAATAATAATAATAATATCTAGTTTAATAATAATAACAACTAGTTAACAATAATAATAATTAGTTTAATAATAATAATAACTAATGATGATGAAGAAGAAAAAGAAGAAGAGCTTTATCTATGTAAAACTCTGTGTGATCTTAGGCTTTTTGTAGTTTTTTCTTTCATTCAAAAAATGCAGTGGAAAATGTCATGATGCCATTTTTGAACTTAGCTCTCTGGTTGGGACCCGGAAAGAAATGAATGTACACCAGAAATCAAAGGATATAATAATAATAATAATAATAATAATAATAATAACATGTTTAAAGCCATGTAAAATAATTTGTCAGGTGGAAATTAGTACAGTGACCTATCAGGTGCTTATTAGTAAAATTGGTGAAATTTCTACCATCAGATTCTTGGTAGCCCATGATTTAAAGAAATACAAAAATATTGTATTTACTATTACAGATCACATTTGACCAAGAGCTTTATCTATGTAAAATGTGTGTGATTTTAGGCTGTTTTTTTTTTTTGTTTTTTTTATCAGTGAAAGATGTTATGATGCTATTTCTGACCTTAGATCCCTGGTTGGGACCCGGAAAGAAATGAGAATACAACAAAGGAATAATAATAATAATAATAATAATAATAATAGACTAATTGAAGGGATTCCTGGAAGTTCATGCCTCAAAGAGATACAAAAAAATCTTCTCACAAGTACAGCCCACACTTTACGAAGGGCTTTATCTATGTATTTTTTTTTTTTTTTTTTTTGTCAGTGGAAAGTGTCATTATGCCATTTGTAACCTTAGGTCCCTGGGTGGGACCCGGAAAGAAATTTGTAAATGCCAGAAATCAAAGGAAATAATAATAATAATAATAACTGTCCAAATACAAGGACCTGGAGATCAAGATTAACAGGATGTGGGGAATAAAGACTGAGACTGTACCAATAGTAATCGCGGCTCTGGACCTCGTGAGAAAAGGAATGGACAATTTTACTAACAGTGTCACTGGTAACATCAACATACAAGTTGCCCAGATGATCACCCTGCTAGGAACATCCCATATACAAAGAAAAGTACTATCAATTAAATGATAATTTTCCTACAGGGCTTAAGGACCATAGTTTGGACCTGGCTCTACAGGAAACAAAGCAGGAAACATAACATACACATATAATAATAATAATAATAATAATAATAATAATAATAATAATAATAATAATAATGAAATCGAAATCTCAAAAATGTGGCACATGGGAACATCAACAATCCTTGTTTAGTTGGAGCCCTCGGATTGGTTGGAAAAGATCCCAGTAGACTCATTGAAGGGATTCCTGGAAGCCCATGCCTTAAAGAAATACAAAAAATTGTTCTCACGAGTACAGCCCACAGCTTACGAAGGGCTTTATCTATGTAAAATATGTTTGTGTTTTGTTTTTTTTTATTGGACAGTGGAGAATGTCATGATGCCATTTCTAACCTTAGGTCTCTGGGTGGGACCCGGAAAGAAATGAGTACACATTAGAAATAAAAGGAAATAATAATAATAATAATAATAATAATAATAATAATAATAATAATAATAACTAGTTTTAACTTGTGAAAATTTCACTATTTTCCTATTTGGAATTTCTGATGAAACTTAATTCTTAAGATAATGATTGAATAAGCTCATGGTTCTACGACAATAAAATCTGATGTAGACAAACTCATATCCATCAGTGGTTACGTAAGGCAGGGTTAAATGCTGAAACTGAACGTTTTATTCTTGCTGCACAGGACCAATGCTTGCCAACTAGAAATTACCAAGCACACATACTGAAAAATTGTTAACCCGAAACGCAGAATCTGTGATAAATATTCAGAAACAAGTGACCATCTTGTATCAGGTTGCAGGGTGTTAGCACCAACTGCATATAAATGAATATAAAACTCGGCATTGATAGAGTGGACCAATATCTTCACTGCAAAATATGCAACTTTTACGGGAAGGAAACTGCAAGAAACTGGTATTAACATCAGCCAGGTCCGGTTACAGAGATAGGACCTGTAATAATTTTATGGGCCTTTACAATACACACAGAAGAATCAAATCTAATCGCCCAGACATTGTGATCAAAGACCAAAAAAACAGAAAATGCTTTCTTACTGACACGACAGTCTCTATAGATGGTAATGTACCTTTGAAGATCTTCAAAAAACTATAAAAATACAAGGATCTTGAAGTGTAAATATAAAAAATGTGGCACATGAGGACATCAATAATTCCAGTTGTGTTTGATAGATTTCTGATAACCAATCACTGACCATTCTGGCCCTGGCATTTGCATTCATCAGTAGTAGTAGTAGTAGTAGTAGTAGTAGTAGTAGTAGTAGTAGTAGTAACAACAACAACTGGGTGGGCCAATATCTGCAGTGGAAAATTTGCAACTTTTATGAGAAGGCAACTGCATAACATTTGTATATAAACATCACCTATAATAATTTTATGGGACAGACATTACAATACACACAGACAGGACAATCAAATCTAATCGCCCAGACATCGTGATCAAAGATCATAAAAACAGAATGGGCTTTCTTATCGACATGGCAGATCCTGTAGACAGTAATGAACCTTTGAAGATCATCAAAAAAAAACTATCAAAATAAAAGGATCTTGAAGCTGAAATTTCCAAAATGAGGCACATGAAGACATCAATAATTCCAGTTGAAGTTGGATCCATCGTCTTGGTAAATGTTCCGACAGAATCGTTGAAAGGATTCCTGGTAGCCTATGCCTTAAAGAAATACAAAAAATGGTACTTACAAGTACAGCTCACACCTTATAAAGGGCTTTATCTATTTAATGTGTTTGATCTTAATTTACAAAAATGATCAGTGGAAAAAGATATGATGCCATTTCTGACATTTGATTACTGCCTAGATGCGACGGGGAATGATAAGAATAAAGTTGTTACAATAAACAATTGTTTCACTACAACCTACTTTTACAATAATTCCACTTTCAGAATAGCCTCCATCCCATAGAACCATAATTTGGACCCTTCGTTTTGGTGAAAGTGTGGATTATTTTGCCCATTTTAAGCTGAATTCATTGCACAACTACTATCATGGCTGGTAATTTGGCAATGTAAGAGTTGGAGAGGATGACAATATTATTATTATTATTATTATTATTATAACATGGTAGGCCAATAACTGCACTGGAAAATCTGCAATTTCTATGAGAACACCACTCAGACCCGGCTATTGACATACGGGCTATAACAACTTTATGGGACTTTAAAATACACACAGACAGAACAATCAAATCTAATCGCCCAGACATCGTGATCAAAGACCACAAAATTTCTTATTGACATGACAGTCCCTGCAGATTATAATGTATCTTTGAAGATCTCAAAAACTACCAAAATACAAGAATCTAGAAATGGAAAATTCAAAAATATAGCACATGAAGATCATCAGTAATTCCAATTGTAATTTGCAGCCCTCGGCTTGATTGGAAAAGATTCCGATAGATTCAATGAAGTAGCCTATGCCTTAAAGAAATACAAAAATTTGTTCTCACAAGTACAGTCAGTCTGTTATGTACCATGCGTGATACAAGCTTAGGCGATCATGTATCTTTTGATACATGACGATATTCAGTCATCCCCTCCCCACGAGGGTGCCATGTGGCACAAGGCCTTTTTAACGTGGGCATTCCGAGCCCGTGGGCTTGGCCAAAAATATGCCCATTGAACCCGTATAAACGGGTTCAGGGCCGGTTTAACCTCCCCGAAGGAGACTCCGCCCTTCGGCGTAGCCTCCTTCGGGTTCCTCCTGTCCGTAGGAAGAGAGTTCAACCGAACAGTCGGTAGTGAACTACTGACTGACTCCTTTTGATACATGACTGACGCGGCAGATTTTTCTCCCGCCATTTCTTTCTGCGATAGACCATTTTTTCCCGCCATTTCTTTCTGCGATAGACCAGTTGCCATCTAAAGGGAATTAACTGAAACGGAGATAGCCAGAAAAGACATGACACATGGAACTAGAACAATTTACTCACGTGGACTAAATAAAGTGTTTCGTTTGAAATTTCGATGTTATTTGTCTGAAGAACATTGGAGTATACAATGGCCGAAACATTATGAATGTCATAATAAAGATGAGGAATTTAAGTAAGAGTAACTTGAAAAATAACCATTATTGCCCACCCAATATCCATTACAATAAACTTTACTACCCATAGTGCACCATTCCTGTCCTTCTATCTACCCATAGCTGGGGAGAGAAGAAGAGTATTTATACCTTTCCCAAGGGTATTAGCACGTAATACAATAGTAATATTATTACGTGAATATAATGGATTCGACTGGAATTCGAACTCAGCTCTCCGATTCCTCAATCCGAGCCGCTATCCATTACTGAAAGATAATGAACAGACTTAGATAGATAGATAGATAGATAGATAGATCAGTCAGTTATTTGTCATGCGTGATAGACGCTTAGGCGATCATATATCTTTCGATACATGACTGACGAGGCAATTTTTCCCGCAGTAGGTTACCATTTATTTCTGCGGTAGACCAATTGCCATCCAAGGCTACAGAACCCGGCCTGTCCTGCTATTTACCCGTAGCTGGTGGGGAGAAGAGGATTCATACCTTTGGCAAGGGTATTAGCACGTAAGTGAGAGCAATGGATTGGCAGGATCAAGGGTGGCAAATCTGACGGAATAATTTCATACTTGCAAAATATCCTTATCAGTTCCTAGCGAGCCATTAACAGATAACGGACAATAACTTGCAACACAAGAATAATAAACTTTTTTTTTTTTTTTTTGAAACGCGGTAAACATCTACTTGCAATAATTTTTTTTTTTTTCAATTTTAAAACCGGGATTTTTGTAGTGATCATTTTGACTGGAAATTTCCACTCCAGATGGCTGCATTAAAGTAGCCTGAAAATCGTGAGCAGTGAAAAATTCAGATCAAAATTGAGCTAATCACTGTGTCTCGCTACGGACCTATTGATACACTGACAACAACGCACATCTATATATTATAGTCTATATGTAGACTGCAGTTTCTTGGCAACATGCCAGGCTGGCCGTATCACGAGACAGTAATAATTTCGCAATGCCCGAAGTCGCAGTGCTCATACCGTCCCACTGTTTCTGACCAGCACACACAGGAGGGCGTAGAAAGGAATAGGTAAAGAATCAATTGACACCAGTGTTGATATTCGATTGACCATCAAAATTCCGATCTGAGTAGATGATGTTTATTTTGGGTTTTTTTTTTAAACAGTGTATATTTCGTGTAACGGCCTACACATTCGAGAAACTTAATAAAGATGTGCTCTCTCTTTATTAAGTAGATGTAATTTCGCGCTGTTTCAAAAGATAAATAAATAAACAGTATATGTTAGTAGTCTCAGAAGAATTAACATCTCTCTTGATTTTCAGAGGGAATAACCCAGAGCGAGTTTTTCCCGGTCCTTTTGCATGATGCTGCCTTCCTTTGTGCAACCTTTATACCTCAATTTCCGCGTGTGCGTTGGTCTTTTGTCTTCGACCAACCCACTGTACAGAAGCTGGCTCTGGATCCTAACCACATGACCACTCTATCGTAACCAGTACTGAAGCACCAGAGACTGACTGCTTTCGATATCAGTGTCTCTCACGTACATTAACCACCGGATACCCAATATACGGCGGAGACACTGAATAGAAGCCCCAAGAGCCACTCGAGACAGAGGGTTACTCTGTAGAGTAGGAAAGGACAAGCGTTAGGAGTATAACGCTGAAGTAGATTTTAGAAGGAACCGGAAACCGAATCCTAAACAAGGAACAAGGGTTAAACCTCTACTCCTGTTCAAAAGACCGGGGAGGGGTATAAGCCACACGATAGGCGAACCTATCTACTCCCATTGGAGGAGGAGAAAAAATAATTAGGGGAAAAAAAAAAATTCAGACGTAGACGAAGAAGTATAGAGTTGAAGTAGACTTTATAAGGAACCGGAAACCCTAAACAGGAAACAAGTGTTAAACATCTACTCTTGCCCAAAAAAACAGAGAGAAGTATGAACCGGACGATAGGCGAACCTATCTACTCCTATTGGAGGAGGAGAAAAAAAATAATAGTTACTGAATTCTGACTGAGACGTAAGAAGTACAGCGTTGAAGGAACCGGAAACCCAACCCTAAACAGGAGATAAGGGATAAACCTCTACTTATGTTCAAAAGACTGGGGAGGAGTGTGAACCGGACGATAGGTAAACCTATCTACTCCTATTGGAGGAGGAGAAAAAAATAACAGTTACTGAATTCTGACTGAGATGTAAGTACAGCGTTGAAGGATCCGGAAACCCAACCCTAAACAGGAGATAAGGGATAAACCTTTAATCTTGTTCAAAAGACTGGGGAGGAGTTTGAACCGGACGATAGGCAAACCGATCTACTCCTATTAGATTGTTCATTTTCAGATCTAATGGGGCTCCTTTGAACTAATTTGAAACAAATGAGATCAAAAAACGTATCTGAGGCAAAACGAACATGCATATTGAATGTGCTCCCCAATTCTGTTAGCCCAGGGGTCTCTTAATGCCTAAATACGGTACTGAACGGAAGGTTAAAAAAAAATCACAACAACATGAATTTTGTTCACTGTGCACGGTGGTCAGCCTACTGGTTAAATCAAACGTTCAGCGGTTTTATAAATGCTACTCTCGAACCAACTTTGTCAAGCAAACCAACCTTCGTTTTCCTATCTTTGTGACCAATCAGTTCGACCTTAAACCACTTTATTGTTCTAGAAACATCTGTTACAGGTCGAAACTGTGGCAGATGTAAGACAATTTGTCCCACGAGAAATCTGAATAAAATAAGCTTTGGGTTTTACAGTGAGGGGGCGAACATATGAGTGTATGTGTGTGCCATTGTGTGTATGTCTGTATCATTGTGAACATGTTCACATGAGTACTTGCGCACGCATGTATGTGCGTGAGCGTATTTGCGCTTCGATGTCGAGGTTCATAGATATATAATTAAACGAATACATGAAGATATATACACATATATATATATATATATATATGTGTGTGTGTGTGTGTGTGTGTGTGGGTGTGTGTGCGTGTGTGTGTGTGTGGTTAGCTGCGATGTGATTGTAAAGGCAAAATAAAAAGATTAAAGAAAGAAAAACTGAATATAAAGGAATGAAAAGAAAGAAAGAACAAATAAAGACAAAAGAAAGGAAAAAGTAAAAGAGAAAGAAAGAAAGAAAGAAAAAAGAAAGACAAAAGAAAGGAGAAAGTAAAAGAGAAAGAAAGAAAGAATAAAGACAAAAGAAAGGAAAAAGTAAAAGAGAAAGAAAGAAAGAAAGACAAAAGAAAGGAAAAAGTAAAAGAGAAAGAAAGAATGAATAAAGACAAAAGAAAGGAAAAAGAAAAAGAGAAAGAAAGAAAGAATAAAGACAAAAGAAAGGAAAAAGGAAAAGAGAAAGAAAGAAAGAAAGAAAGAAAAACAAAGAGTATAGACAGAGAAAGATTCATTTACTTCGTCATTCATTTTCCATACACTTTTTTACTTTTTTCTTCGCTTCTCGATTTCCTCACTTCTCTCCCTTTTCCTCTCTCCCTCTCTTTCCCCCTCTTTCTTTCTTTCTCTCTCTCTCTCTCTCTCTCTCTCTCTCGCATCTCCCTTTTTCTCATATTCCATCTTTACACACAGGTACCCGACTTACGACCATATCACGCTGTAACACCGATTTTCGTGCGATCACCGAAGTTAAGCAACATTGAGCGTCGTCAGTACCTAGATGGGTGACTGCATGGGGTTAGCAGGTGCTCTAAGTTTCAATGTGCGGTTGGGGTAATAGATAACGTCTCGGAATGGGAAATCAGGGGTTCGAATTCCAGTTGGGTTCGTTATATTCTTTTACGCGCAAATACCCTTGCGAAAGGTATGAACCCACCTAATCTCCTTCCAGCTATGGGTTAATTAGTAAGCCTTGTATCACTAAATCATTATTATCGCCCAAAAGTTCTCACAGTCTAAAAATAGAAATAAATAAACTGCAAAAGGTTGATAAGTGGTAAAATTCAAATCAATCATATATATATACATTTTTTTAATCAATTCACTCCAAGCAAGGCGATTATGCCACTAAGACGCAAGGGGACTACTAGAATGAAAGAGACTTAGAATTTAGAAGGAAACGGAAACCCAGTCCTAAATAGAGCTCAAGTTATAAACTTTTACACCTGTTCAAAAAAAGACCGATACCAGTCAATAGACCTAGACTCTATATATATATATATATATATATATATATATATATATATATATATATATATATATATAGGCGATTGCATGGGGTTAGCGAGAAAAATAACAGCATATGTGGCCTGACGATTCCATATAGCATGAAACAGACTGTCGCCTCTAAGTGTTGACTTCTATGTTCACTTTTATATTTATATTTATATATATATATGTATATATATATATATATATATATATAATGAAAGTGTAAGAAAAATGTACATAAACGCCCAAATACTTGCACGTACGTAAGTATATTTATTCCTCATTAAATACAGTGCTCAATGTTAGGAAACAGAGCTATAAGTATGTATTAGTGAATATACATAATACATGGATATTATAAATATATATTGATATGGATATTATGTATAATATATATATATATAGAGAGAGAGACAGAGACAGATAGATAGATAGATAGATAGATAGATAGATAGATAGATAGATAGATAGATAGATAGATAAGAACAGCCCCAATTATTATATGACTTAGACAATGAGAGAAACTGCAAATATAAATATAGAAAATAACCCTTTATGAAGGATTTATTCGTGGTTTTAATCCAGTTGTTTTGATATTCCGTTGACATTAAATTTGGAAGTTATTTTAAAAATTGACAGGGGACATAACTGTCACCACTTGTCATGAAATTTATTAGCAGAAAGGAAAACGTTTGTTTGAAATTTTGCTCAAAATTAGGTCATGTCCGTCGACTTGAGTTGTTCTTCGATTGAATGGAATGAGACATATTTTTTTAAAATATCATGATCTTAATTTTAAAACAGCAATTCATTTATTCATAACAATGTTTTAAAATAATCATTATGCATATAATAGTCCTGTTCTGTCTGCAAATGCTTGTTTTTGGGGTTTTTTTTAAAATTTCTGGGGTGAGGAATTATCATTATTCCATCACGGCTGATCGAACCCCTAACTACCGCCAGTCACGACGAACGGATCTCCCCTCGATGAGGCCCCATGCCCTGAGAGGATATTGGGCCTCAAAAACACACCTGAACTCAAGTGGAACTCGTACATACGATCTGTCGCTAAAGATGTCGGTTAAAATGATCGACTCTCTGTACTGCTCCAGTAAGTACCTGACTCCTTATGCTATTCTATACCAGATCAGGCCGAAAATGGAGTACTGTTGCCATATTTGGGCATGAGCTACCCAGACCTCACTTTCCGGTCTTGATAGAGATAAAAAAAAAAAGTCTCCGAGTCCTTGTTAGAGAAGAATTATTTTCCACCCTCTAAGCTCTCTCTCACGAGCGGGATATGGTGAGCCTCTGCCTGATCCACTCAACCATCTTCTTCCCACGAACCACTGCTCTGTGGAACCGACTCCCAAGAGGATGCTTCCTCGATCTCTACAATCTTAACCTGTTCAAATCTATGGTTAACCGTTATATCCTCGCCTATCAGTATAAATTACCTCTTAACATGCCCTCTACCTAGAGTTGGAGGCCTTGTATAACCAAACTAGTTACATTCCATCACCGCCGATCGAACCCCGAACCTGTCACGATGAACGGATCTCCCCTCGATGAGGCCCCATCCCCTGAGAGGATATTGAGCCTCACACTCGACCTCAGGTGGAACTCGTATATACGATCTATCGTTAAAATGATCGACTCCCTGTACCGCTCCAGTAAGTACCTGACTCCTCATGCTATCCTCGATCGTTATCAGAGCCAGATCAGGTTGAAAATAGAGTTTTGTTGTCATATTTGGGCGGGACCTACCCAAACCTCACTTTCTAGTCTCGACAGAATTTAAAAGCGTCTCCGAGTCCTTGTGGGTGACGAATTATTTTCCACCATCCAACCTTTCTCTCACGGGTGGGATATGGTGAGCCTCTGCCTGATCTAACACTACTTCCATGGAAAGTGCTCGGACGAACTACATTCTTTGGTTCCGCTCGGTCTAACCTTCATGGCTATGACCTGCCACGCCTCTTAAAACGTAGTAAACCATCGACATTCCCTCTGTATTCCATCGATGAGTTCCACTCAAACAGCTTCTTCCCGTGAGCCACTGCTATGTGAAAGAGACTCCCTATAAGATGTGTCTGCGATTACTACAAGTCTAGAGTTAACCGTTATCTCCCCCTCCTATCCGTATAACCTGCCTCTTTAACGTAACCCTCTACCTCAAGTGGCTCTCAGGCCTTCTAGAGGATGAACCGTTTTGTCAAAAAAAAAAAAACATCGGAGTAATGTCCCACTGTTTATTGTTATTATCAAAATATTTTGGCCGTTATGCTCACCGGTCTTCAGGTTGTTGCAGATCTGAGTAACGTTAATGGAATAGCGAATTGACACCCTTTATTGAATCTACAGCGGTAGATTGTTTTCGTCCCACCGTTCATGTCTAGGGATATCTCGTCTTGTTACTCAATGCCACCCACTCACTGCACACGCTGTGCCCACTGAGTCTGAGTCAGTACTACACGGTCCAGGGATTGAACACACAACTGAGATGTGACCACATTCAAGAACCAACATTTTCATTTACGAATCTATTACCACACGGTTAAATAGCGGGAATGATCGGAGGCACTTACCTAATCGAAGAAAAGAAAAACCACTGAGAAAGCAATTACTGACCACTGACAATCCCTTTCTTCCTCATTTGCAATGCATTCCTATAGTGAAAAACTGCTACAAAATAATAATTCTACATATAATAGCCCTATTCTATCAGTAATGCTTGCATTCATTCCTGACCACTGACAATCCCTTTCTTCCTCATTTGAAATGCATTCCTATAGTAAAACACTGCTACAAAATAATAATTCTACATATAATAGCCCTATTCTATCAGTAATGCTAGCATTCATTCCTGACCACTGACAATCCCTTTCTTTCTCATTTGCAATGCATTCCTATAGTAAAACACAGCTACAAAATAATAATTCTACATATAATAGCCCTATTCTATCAGTAATGCTTGCATTCATTCCTGACCACTGACAATCCCTTTCTTCCTCATTTGCAATGCATTCCTATAGTAAAACACTGCTACAAAATAATAATTATATATATAATGGCCCTATTCTATCAGTAATGCTTGCATTCATTCCTGACCACTGAAAATACTTTTCTTCCTCTCTTGCAATGAGTTCCTATAATAAAACACTGCTCTAAATTTTTAAAAAATCAGTAAAAAATTAAAAAAAATAACTTTAAATCCTAATGAAGGATGAAAAGCGCCTCGGCTTGAAAGGACATTTGAAAATAAGAAAGACAAAGTCAACTAAAAATGCAACAAGTTCGACCTAATACTCCCTCTGCACCGAAAAGCCAACCTGCTAACTTTTCTTTTTTTTTCTATCTCTCACTTTTTATTTTGCCTCTCCCACCAATGTCCATCACCCGGTCATCAGCACCCCCCCCACCAACAACAACACAGTCCCGCGCTCCACCCACTCCAGGCAATTAGCTGCTCGCCGCCAGTCGAACAAAGTTGCTCCCGTTATTCATTGTCCTCAGATGTAAATAATAGCAGACATTATTAGACAGAAGATTATCTCTGAAAATGGCGTCTAGACAGTTAAACGTAGTTGAAATTAAAAAAAAAAATACATACACATACTCAGAGTCGATTATAGGCACGCGAAACAACTCTTAAGCAAGTGTCTTTAATGGTGTTGAATAATAATACATGTAAACAGAAGCGAATGAAGATAGTCGCGCTGACATTATCAGTTTTCAACGTTAATAAACCCTCCCCGCAGTATCATTATTGAAATGAACAAACGGATGCTAATGTTATAGACAAGCGTATGGTTGCAAGAAGGAAATACGACAACAGCAGAAATAGATTTACGTGATTTATTTCAATAGGAACGTGTGGGTTTGGGACAGCTACCTTGTGGTATAGTTCATAAGCCGGCTCCCGGTCTGGGTTGAACTCTCATAGTAGTTCACACTGGTTGGCGTGGCGCTCCTCCTTCTGACTGCTGCTGACGGACCGTGACAGGTCTCTTCCCTGGCCTCCTGTTGACTGCTGCTGACTGACCATGACAGGTCTCTTCCCTGGTCTCTTGTTGACTGCTGCTGACTGACCGTGACAGGTCTCTTCCCTGGCCTACTGTTGACTGCTGCTGACTGACCGTGACAGGTCTCTTCCCTGGCCTCCTGTCGACTGCTGCAGACTGACCGTGACAGGTCTCTTCCCTGGCCTCCTGTTGACTGCTAATACTTCCCCGTGTGACCGTTTTTATGGCGTTTTTATAGCTTAACAGGCTCGTAAAACGACGCGAGTATAATTAGGAGGGAAGCATTTTTATTGGTCAAAAAATAGAAACACTTTAAAATATTATTTTATTTTTCGACCGGAACTCGTGCGTCGGGCTTATGCGTAAACGACGATAATGGTCATTTTGTGACGGGGTCTTGTCCCGTTCACATCCGGCTCTCGCTCTTGAGTCTGTTAGTTTATTTGCCTGCAAATCAGCCGAGATATGTCTTATTTTATTTTTAACACTAAGGACATCATGGACGTAGCGTGTGAGCAACAATGAGATCTTAAAGAGATTGCAAACAAGGAGGAGGCTTATACTTAATATCAGGAAGAGGAAGCTGAAGTTCCTGGGACATATAATGAGGAAAGAGGGCATGGAGAATCTGATACTCACAGGTCGAATAGAGGGAAAGAGAGATAGGGAAAAAAACAACGTGTGACATACGTAGCGACCTTAAGCAAGTGGAGGACAGAACACGGTCTGGGGGAGGAAGCAAAGGGAAGGAACTCGTTGAGAGCTGCAAGGGATACAGGGAGGTGGAGAGGAGAAAGAAGTTACAAATGTACTCTTATCCTCATCTTTGTTGTTGTTGTTTGTTTTTCCTAGAGAGAGACAAGGGAAAGAGCGAGAGAAAGAAAAGGAGAGGGAGAGGGGGAGAGAAAGAGAGGGTGAGGGAGAGAGATATGAACAGATTGATATATAAAGATTTGCATAGATAGATAGATACGAAAACATTTTAGATAGATAGATAGATAGATAGATAGATAGATAGATAGGAACAGATTTAAAACAATTGATAGATAGATAGATAGATAGATAGATAGATAGATAGGAACAGATTTAAAACAATAGATAAGCTAGATAGATAGATAGATAGATAGATAGATAGATAGATAGATAGATAGATAGGAACAGATTTAAAACAATTGATAGATAGATAGATAGATAGATAGATAGATAGATAGATAGATAGATAGATAGATAGGAACAGATTTAAAACAATAGATAAGATAGATAGATAGATAGATAGATAGATAGATAGATAGAGAACAGATTTAAAACAATAGATAGATAGATAGATAGATAGATAGAAACATATTTAAAACAATAGATAGATAGATAGATAGATAGATAGATAGATAGATAGATAGAAACATATTTAAAACAATAGATAGATAGATAGATAGATAGATAGATAGATAGATAGATGCGCAAAAAGTGCTAACACAAAAAATTAAATAAAAAAAATTAACCGTAGTACCTTGTCAGTCGCATTTAATGTAACGAGAAAATGTGGGATTTCTGCTCAAATACACAATACATACATACATACATATATATATATATATATATATATATATATATATATATATATATATATATATATATATAAGAGTATAGTTTTAATATATGACTGATAACGCCAAACTGTCAGGAGACTTGTGCACACATTCAGATTGATGTCAAGGCCCCTAGTTATTAAAGTCATGCGAATCTCTCGTACAATCAGTTAATGTTTCAATTACTGGTAAAATCTTTGGGTCATATAATGAGAAAAGAATTCTTTGAAAATGTTAACATTGAAGGGGAGCTTTAGAGACATGAGAAGCAGGGGGGAACTGAGGGGTCAGCTAATTGTCACCCTGAGTAAATTAATGGCAGCACCAGTGCCGCAATAACAAAATGGCGTCTTGAAATAGTATCGGTTACTTTGAGCAACAAAAGACAGGAAATAAAGATCCGTGGTCGCCCGTATCCTAAAAGGACATGGCACAGAGAAAATACTCCGCTAATTAAAATGAGGCCTCGTGTTATCTACTCGCCCGTCCGTTTACCTAATCGCCGGCCCACCTGTAAACCGAAGAAAACAGAAGGTTGAATCTCTGAGGTAACAGGAAAAGTGGGTAGGCGCCAACTGGACTTTTTCTTTCTTTTTTTTTTTTTTATTGTACCAGTCGACCTCTCCACCTTGGTACATACCTATTTATTTGTTTACTACCCACATTTGTGTCTCTTAAGTATTAAGTCAAGTTCTTTGGTCTGAACTAAAAAAAATTCCCGAGAGAAACAAAGCATGCTTGCACCTAAAATACAAAAGGAAAAAAGAAAGAAAGAAAGGCAGAAAGAAATAGGGTGAAGAGAAAAAAGAAAAAAATGTACATAAACAAAGGAAAATGAAAGAATAACAAAAAGAAAGCGTGTAAAGAAAGAAAGAAAGAAAGAAAGAAAGAAAGAAAGAAAGAATAGAGTAGAGACAAAAAGAAATAAAGAACAGCGACAAAGGAAAAAAAGAAAGCATGTAGAGAAAGAAAGAGTGAATACAAAGAAAGAAAGAAAGAAAGAAAGAAAGAAAGAAAGAAAGAAAGAAAGAAAGAAAGAAAGAAAGAGTGAAGACAAAAAAGGAGTCGAAAACGAAAGAAAGAAAGAAAGAAAGAAAGAAAGAAAGAAAGATGAACAAAAAAACAGTGTAAAGAAAGAAAGAAAAAAAAAAGAAGACAAAAAAGAGTGGAAAAAGAGAAACAGAAAGAAAGAAAAAAGGAAAAATGAACAAAGAAACAGTGTAGACAAAGAAAGAAAGAAAGAAAGAAAGAAAGAAAGAAAGAAAGAAAGAAAGATGAACAAAGAAACAGTGTAGACAAAGAAAGAAAGAAAGAAAGAAAGAAAGAAAGAAAGAAGGAAAAATGAACAAAGAAACAGTGTAGATAAAGATAGAAAGAAAGAAAGAAAGAAAGAAAGAAAGAAAGATGAACAAAGAAACAGTGTAGACAAAGAAAGAAAGAAAGAAAGAAAGAAAGAAAGAAAGACAAAAAATATAATGTAGACAGAATGAAATCTATATAATATGTATGAGGTGTGTGCAAAAGTTCCTAGCGTTCATTTTTTGGCAAGTGGATAATCAGTTAAAAAAAAACATACCAATGAGTAGTATCATTAATTTTGACTGGTATTGATTTTCGTCTCAATTTATCGATGAAAAAAAAAAAACGAGAAAAAATTAAGATAAAAGTAAATATTGGATATAATAATAATAATAATAATAATAATAATAATAACAACAACAACAACTCGTTTTAACCCGAGAAAAAATTACGGTTTTCCTATTTTTATATTCTGAAGAATCTTAATTCTTAAGTTAATTATTGAAGAAGTTCATGGCGAGATCTGCGTCTATAAAATATTCATAGAAATTCCCCTACCGCATCGTTCAATATTTGAGCTTAACAACTTTAACAAAATATTGCAATAACAATCATGAATATGAATGCTGGTCGGTATTTTAAGAAATAAGGGGATACAAATGAAAAGATTTGAAATTTGTAACTTTTTTCCATTTCACTAAAACAGCCGATAAACACTTTCCTTTCCTTTCTTTCTTTCTTTCTTTCTTTTATTCATTTTCTGACTGGACCCAAGTCGCGTTTCTGATATGTGTTTTTCAAAACAGAATAGCCTATTATTTATCAGATATTGGCAGGAGACGTTAAACACTTCTATCCTTCTTTCTTTCTTTCTTTCTTTCTTTTTCATACCGAATATTAGTAGTCTATTTTCCTCTCCTTCCACACGATCAAAACAGAACAATCCATTATTAATGAGTTATTGGCAGGGCGTAACGACCGTGCGAACTAATAAAGGGGAGGGCCAAGCGCAATTCAGTCAGTTATGTGCCATCCGTGATACACGCTTAGGCAATCATATATCTTTCGATAAATGACTGACGAAGCAGATTTTTCCCGGAGTAGGTTGCCATTTCTATCAGCGGTAGACTACTTGCCATCCAAAGCTATAGAACCCAGTCTGTCCTGCTATTTACCCATAGCTGGTGGGAAGGGGTTCGAAGAAGAGGATTCATACCTTTCCCAAGGGTATTAGCACGTAAGTGAATGTAATGGATTCGACTAGAATTCGAACTCGGCTCTCCGATTCTTCAGCCGCTATCCATTACTCCACCGTGCCACCACTAAATACTCTTGGTAAATCTATAAATCCATCTCTCCCCACCCCCAGTTTTGGGCTAAATTAGCAGGGCAGACTGATCTCTATAGACTTGGTTGTATCTAGTCTACCAGAGAATGTAGTGGCAGCCTACTGTGGGAATCCTTATGCGAAGTCAATCATGAATTAAAAAGAGATATAGTCGTCCGAGAGTGTATCACGCATTACACCTAAGGGAGGCAGTATTGCTCGGGATGAGAAAATGGGATCAGGGTTCGAATTCAAGTAGGGTTCGTTGTATTGACTTATGGAAATATTCTTGGGCGATCATGAATCGAAAAGTGATATGATCCCCCAAGAGTGTCACATCCTTCTCTACTAACGCGGGTTGGACCAGTACGGTAGGCTAATGGTCTGTTCCTCGCCAGGAATCTGGGAATGACTACATCCAACAGAAAGCCTTCAGAGGCTGCTAAAAAAAGATGAAGAACGGTGCCAGTAGCCAAAGAGTTATTAGCGCGGAAAGGAACTCGGCACGACGAGTTCAAGTTCCGGCCTAGTCAGCTTACGACCGAATCACGTTGAAACTATCGGTTCCTGTACGATCGCGAAAGTTAAGCAACGTTCAGCGTGGTCAGTACCTAAATGGGTGACCGCTTTTGGAAAAAGGTATGAAGTCATCGCTTCTCCCTGTAACTATGGCTTAAACAGCAGACTAGAATGGGACTATTCTTGGGTGTACGTTTATCTAAGAGGACAATTCGGAATTATTTAAAAAATATATAGAAGGTTAAGCCAGTCTGTTATATTTTCCAATAAAATATCACAAAAGGATGATAAGCCGTAAAAAAAATCAATTGGTTCAGCCTTTCTCGTTGCCGATTTTGGAAAAGTTATGAACCTATCGCTTCTCCCTTCAGCTATGGGTTAAATAGCAGAATAGAATGGGTCTATTCTTGGGTGGTAGCCTACCTTGGAAAAGGACAATTCAGAATTATTTTTAAAATGTGTAAAAGGTAATAGGGAAAGATTCTGTTATATTTTCCCAATAAAACATCACAAAAGGTTGATAAGCCGTAAAAAAAACAAATCAATTAGTTTAATCTTTTGCGTTTCCGCTTTTGGAAAAGATATGAATCGCTTCTCCCTACATCTATGGGTTAAATAAACAGAATAGAATGGGACTCTCTAGACTTGGGTAAAAGGACAATTTTTAAATTTAAAAAAAAAATGTGGTGAAGTCATTCTGTTATATTTCTCAAGAAAACATCATAATTCACAGATAATAAAGAAAAAGGAAAATTCATGTAGAAAGCCATGATCTCTCTTCTTGTTCTTGTAACGGCATTCCCCCGGGGTGGGTTGAGCCGGCTCCAATATTGGAGTTTCCTGAGAATTTGGAATTCACAAGTGGTCCTCAAACCCGCATGTATAGCACATGAGATTTGATTATAGTGGTGAAGGTTTCGTGCAGGACCATCCACACTTTTTGAAGGGCCGATTACAAGGCCTGGTGCACTACGTGCCACAAGGTCCAAACGACCCTCCGCAGGTTTTAAATTCAGAGTTGTCCTTTCTCTTAGACCAGTTGCCATCCAAGGCTATAGAACCCAGTCTGTCCTGCTATTTACCCATAGCTGGAGGGAGAAGAGGAGGATTCACACCTTTCCCAAGGGTATTAGCACGTAAGTGAATGTAATGGATTCGACTGGAATGGATTTTTAATGTGAATATTCCGATTCCTCAATCCAAGCCGCTATCCATTACTTCACTGTGCTTCCTCCATGATCCGTTGCTCTTTAAACAGAGATGGCTGTTAAATTGATTTTAGTTTTTAAGAATATTTTTTATCTATTTTTAAATAGTTGTTTGACAATCAAGAGAAATATTTTTAGCGGTTTTGCACAGTGATCTGTTTAAAAGAAAGAATTAGAGCGTAAAAGTTTTTTTGTGAGTCGGAGATAAAAAGGAGGTCAATGACAAGATGATGTTTTTGTTCTATATAAATGGGACAAAATTCGAAAGAACATCGGCGATGGACCGATAAGCCATGCATAACGGAGAAAGCAAGTAATATTTTTAATGTGAATATTCCAAAAATGTCTTAGCTACTTTTGTCACGACTGTGAGGATTACGATATGGTCTTGCAAGAAAGAAAGAAAGAAAGAAAGAAAGAAAGAAATGAAAAACAGAAGCCAAAGAAAGAAAGAAAGAAAGAAAGAAAGAAAGAAAGAAAGAAAGAAAGAAAGAAAGAAATGAAAATTGAAGTTGATGAAAGAAAGAAAGAAAGAAAGAAATGAAAATTGAAGTTGATGAAAGAATGAAAGAAAGAAAGAAAGAAAAATAGAAAGAAAGAAAAGAAAGAAAGAAAGAAAGAAAGAAAGAATGAAAGAACAAAATCAAAAATCGAAAGTGAAGAAAGAAAGAAAGAAAGAAAAGAAAAATTGAAGCTGAAGAAAGAAATAAAAATTGAAGAAGATGAAAGAAAAAAAGAAAGAAAGAACGAAAGAACAAAATGAAAAATCAAAGGAAGAAAGAAAGAAGGAAAGAGAGAAAGAAATCAAAAATTGAAGCTGACGAAAGAAAGAAAGAAAGAAAGAAATGAAAATTGAAGGTGATGAAAGAAAGAAAGAAAAAAAAGAAAGAAAGAAAGAAAAAAAGAAAGAAAGAATGAAAGAAAAATGAAAAATCGAAGTTGAAATAAAGAATGAAAAGATGAAAAATAACGTGAAAAAAGAAAGAGAAAAAATGAAATATTGAAGGTGACAAAAGAAAAGAAAGAAAGTAAGTAAGTAAGTAAGTGTGGGAAATAAGAAAAAGAAAGAAAGAAAGAAAGAAAGAAAGAAAGAAAGAAAGAAAGAAAGAAAGAAAGAAAATGAAAACCTGAAGATAAAGGAAAGAAAGAAAAAAAACGAAAATACCAAGTAAAAGAAAAAAAAGAAAGAGATAGAAAAAGAAATTAAGAAAGAAAAAAGAAATGTAAAGAGGAATATGAAAGATGGAAAAACGGAAGTTAATGAAAGATCAAAAAACGAAAGAAATAAATACACAAATGAAGAAAACGGTCGAAGAAGATAAAAGCAGCACTTAAAAATTGAAAGAAAGAAGAATTAAAGAATTTTAAAAAATAGAAAATAATTTTAAAAGGAGCCCGTGGACAAAAAAAGAAAGTATCAGCGAAGAAAACAAAAACGGAAGATAAAATAAAAAAAATATGGAGGAAGCAAACAAAAAAGGTTAAAGTTGAAAGTAGCCCCCAAAAGAAAGAAGAAAAATGGCAGAAAAAGATGAAAGAAATAAGCGAACAATTTTAGTGAAGAAAATGAAAAGAAACAAATAAAAAAGATGTCCGAAAACATAAATGCAATAAGGGAAATATAAAAAGAAAGCGAAAATCAAATAAAAGAAAAAAAAATGGCGTAGAAAGTTATATAAAGAAAAAAAAAAAATTAAGAGGAAGGAAAAATGAAAGAAAAAAGTAAGAAAAGAAAAGAAAAGAAAAGAAAAGAAGTAAGAAAATTTTAAAAAAAAAGAAAGGAAAGAAAATGGAAGAAAAAGGTGAAAAAAGCAACGAAGTTAAAAAGAAAAGAAAAGATGTAAATAAAAAAAATACGAAAATATACCCGTCAGCAAAAAAATAAAAATAAAATATTAAAATTATAAATAACAAAAGATAATTAAAAAGAAAAAAACAAAAATCATATTATGTCAGAATGTGTTTTGGTGAAGAATAAATAGTGTGGGAATAATCTAACGTTCTCACAGATACAAGATTCCACTATTGCGAACGATAGGTAGCTGAGATGAAGGCAAAACGAAAGATAAGATTCTTTAGTATTTCGGGTTGGCGCGGGAATGGCAGGATACACGGTGGGGTAATGGATAGCAGTTCAGATTGAGAAATCGGAGAGCCAAGTTCGAATTCTTTGAAGAATCCACCTCATATTTGTTGTTTATGCCAACCAATTTCGAACAATAGACGATCTTTATATCGGAGAGCCGAGTTCGAATTCCAATTGAATTCATTACATTCATTTACGTACTAAAACCCTTGGGAAAGGTATGACTCCTCTTCTTTTTCTACAGCTATGGGTAAATAGCAGGACAGACCGGGTTCTATAGCCTTGGATGGCAACTGGTCTACCGCAGAAAGAAATGGCGACCTACTGCTGGAAAAACATCTGCCTTGTCAGTCATGTATCGAAAGATACATGATCGCCTAAGCGTGTATCACGCATAGCACATAAGTAACTGAACTCTACAATTCGTCCTTGCTTTCAATGTCTTCATGGGTGACAGATTCACAGACAGTTGATATATCTTCCCTTGGCGATGCTCCAAAGATATTTGATAGAGTTGTGATTCGGCGAAGAGATTATTTTCTTGAGTCTAATTTAGGTAAGTATTCAGCTATGGGTAAATAGCAGGACAAACTGGGTTCTATAGTCTTGGATGGCAACTGGTCTACCGCAGAAAGAAATAGCAACCTACTGCTGGAAAAAAAATCTGCCTCGTCAGTCATGTATCGAAAGATACATGATCGCCTAAGCGTGTATCACGCATGGCACATAACTGACTGATATTCACTTAAGTGCTAATACCCTTGGGAAAGGTATGAATCCTCTTCTTCCCCAGCTATGGTTAAAAAAAAAAAAAGCAGGACAGACCGGGTTCTATAGCCTTGGATGGCAACTGGTCTACCGCAACAAGAAATGGCAACCTACTGCTGGAAAAAAAATCTGCCTCGTCAGTCATGTATCGAAAGATAGATGATCGCCTAAGCGTGTATCACGCATAGCACATAACTAACTGAACTCTACGATTCATCCTTGCTTTGAATGTCTTCATGGGTGACAGCTTCACAGACAGTTGATATATCTTCCCTCGGCGATGCTCCAAAGATATTTGAGGGAGTTGTGATTCGGTGAATAGGTGATTTTCTTGAGCCTAATTTAGGTAAGTATTCTGCTATGGGTAAACAACAGGGCAGACCGCGTTCTATAGCCTTGGTTGGCAAATAGTCTACCGCAGCAAGAAATGGCAACCTACTGCGGGAAAAAAATCTGCCTCTACCGAAAGATACATGATCGCCTAAGCGTGTATGAAGCATGGCAAGTAACTGACTAATAGGAAAGACTGTAAAACTAAAAACTATGAAAGAAAAAAATACAATATATTTATTGAGATAACAAGGTCTGAAATTAAACAGAAAGTTTTTTTTTTTCATCGGTTGATACTTTCTTTAATTTAAAAATTTAAAATTGGCTGATTGATTCGTTTTTTTTTTACGGCTTAACAACCTATTTGCAGATTATTTAAAGCCAGAAGAATTTTTGGATTGTAAAAGTCTTTTTAGATAATAACGATTTACAGATACAAGTCATATTATTTTACCCATATATGGGGGGTGAGAAACGATGGATTCCTACCATTCCTAAGGGTATTTGCGCGTAAGCGAATGTCCATTACAACACCCACAACACCCGCACATCCAAGCTTACGGCACCCGGTTTTCCGAAGTGGTCACCCATTTAGGTATTGACCATATTCGACCTTGCTTAACTTCCGTGTTCATACGAGAACCAGTATTTCAACATGATAGCCGGAAAATTACGAAAGAAATATAAAGACAGAATTAACATAAATGAATCATGATACGTTAGGGACAGGGTCGGATTTTCCATTGGGCTTAGGTGTGCACAGGGTCCTGTTGACCATTGTGTGGGGGGTATCTTACTTCCTGCCTGCGTAGGCATGCTGGGTCTATCTCCTTCAGGGCCCAAGTAAGGGGTCTCATAAGTTTACTAGCACAAAGCCCCATTTGTCCTAAATCTGGCGTTGGTTAAGGAAAACTGTGAGTTAAATAAAGCTAGATTTAAATTGAATGAGAAATATGTGTCAGAAAAGAGACAAATTTCAATATTTGAATAAAAAGATTTCTTTTCCCATTTATTTCTTTATAAAATGGTAAATATTGTCTTATAATCTTGTAAGTAGACATTGCCGAGAGAGTGAACGCAGTTAAAATAATGGCGATGTCAATGGGGAAAAAAAACTTTTTAAACACCGTTTTTTGTTTTTGCTTTTCTCCATTTTAGATAGATAGATAGATAGATAGATAGATAGATAGATAGATAGATAGATATTGATTAAACATAGATAGATATTGATTAGACATAGATAGATATATAGGTAGATAGATAGTATTGATTAGACATAGATAGATAGATAGATAGATAGATAGATAGATAGATAGATAGATAGATATTAATTAGACATAGATAGATAGATAGATAGATAGATAGATAGATAGATAGATAGTATTGATTAGACATAGATAGATAGATAGATAGATAGATAGATAGATAGATAGATAGATAGATATTGATTAGACATAGATAGATAGATAGATAGATAGATAGATAGTATTGATTAGACATAGATAGATAGATAGTATTGATTAGACATAGATAGATAGATAGATAGATAGATAGATAGAAATAAGGAAATTGGACATGATAACAAATTTTTACAAAGCTAAAATATTAAAATAAAAACATTAACATAAAAAATATATTTTTAAATAGTCTCATCAGATCAAGACTTTCATGTGGATTCCGTTTATGGCGCCAAACAGAACGTTCAGAAATATCTAAACTGTCAGTTGTATATAACCACCTTCTAAAATCAATGGTTAAGAGCAGACTTCTTCGCAACTTGTGGACTGGCACTACAGAATCACAAACAAAGAACTGTACCAAATAACAGAAACCACATCATTGAGGACTTTCAACGGCAGCAACAACTAAAATGGATATCACATGTAACTCAAAGAGAAAATAATGACATACTCAACATGCTGACTGTCATATCCTAGATAGTTGGGATGAACAAAACGAATGAAAATAAACAGACAAGTGCATTTTAACACAATAAAACAACTTTTATTCATTTACTGTCTGAGAACAGCAAGAATTTGTTTTGATTGAAACCATGCGTGTAAGTTTGCCACCATGTTGAATTCAAAAGTGCCGCGATCCAACTAGCAGACAGGGGACGCAACTCCGTTGTATTTTGAGCTATCGTCCTTTATAGGGGGAAGTAAGTAAGCACTCTCTAACACTGACAATCTACACTAGTTCAGATAAAAGGTTAGGAAAGAAACCCCCATCAATACTGGAAGGAAAGATAACGGCTACTCGACATGAAAATTTTCCTGAAAATGTATTTTAACCCTTTCACTGCTACTCATTTGCCCAGTGCTGCCCCCATCCGGTCAGCCATTTTTAAAGAAAATGCCAAATTTCAACCTACATATTTTATTACAGAGAAAACTGGCACCAGTGTGTTTTACAGCATTCCATTTTCATGGATATACCTGGGAATGACTTATCAGACCAGTAATGGGTATACACATGATATCTTTTGAAGCATTGTCCTTTGTGGAGTGGGACTTCACACTTTTTGCAGAAGTACCTTGTTTCTGAGCGTTTTCCACCTTTTTTTGTAGACTCTGCATGGCTTGGAAGGGTACCTTTTCTTATTGGTTGGTGGAATTTCTGCCAAGTCATGAGCTTTCATTCCACCAACCAGGCGATTGGCAGGATTAATTTTACGTGCCCTTCGACATACGGTCACGGGCGCTGGGAGCATCTGCATGCTAGACGCATTTTCGTCAGGAATATTTTCAAATTAGATACGAAACTACCATGACGTAGAGAAAAATCGAGACTGACTAATAATTTGCATGATAGAACAGTTAAAATTTCCCGTATTTTACGATAGATGGCACAACGGGACACTCATACCAGCGGTATGAAAAAAAAAAGTAGGCTTCCGTACTTAGCCAGCTGGAGCAAGATAAGAAAAACGAAGATCTCTCTAGATATCAGCGGAAGGTTTAAGAGAAAGAATTTGTAATTTTCAACCGACAGGAACCGTTCAAGGGGTCACAAGTGACAACGGTGTGTGACAATGAAAAGTGACCAGTGCAATGGCCCTGCACACACTGTCTTTCTTTCAGTGAATTGTTGTTCTTGATTCGCGCCAAAAACCTTGTTTGCCTTCGCCGATTTGTTTTCATGGCAAAATGTTCAGACGAACAACGTGCCTTCGTTAACGACAGTTCAGTCCTTCTCGGATCGAACCCGCCGTGCTATGGTACACCGGGTCAAATCATTCTCATTCCTTTCGGCTTGCAGTGGTCATGAGTACGTTCCACAGGGAGCCTCATAACTGTTACCCTGCCGAGAGTGTGTTTCCCACCCCCACCCCCAATCACTATGATCTTCTACAAGTTATTTATTTATCCAACATATCCACATTATATAACGTTCTTACTTCCAACAATAGTATGAAAAAGATAGATAGATAGATAGATAGATAGATAGATAGATAGATAGATAGATAGATAGATAATGAACAGACTGAGATAGATAGAGATAGATAGATAGATAGATAGATAGATAGATAGATAGATAGATAGATATTGATTAGAGATAATGAACAGAGTGAGATAGATAGATAGATAAGGAACAGACTGATATAGATAGATAGATAGATAGATAGATAGATAGATAATGAACAGACTAAGATAGATAGATAGATAGATAGATAGATAGATAGATAGATAGATAGATGAATAGATGAGATAGATAGATGAGATAGATAGATAGATAGATAGATAGATAGATAGATAATGGATAAACTGAGATAGATAGATAGATAGATAGATAGATAGATAGATAGATAGATAGATAGATAATAAACTGAGATAGATAGATAGATAGATAGATAGATAGATAGATAGATAGATAGATAGATAGATAGATAATGAATAAACTGAGATAGATAGATAGATAGATAGATAGATAGATAGATAGATAGATAGATAAACTGAGATAGATAGATAGATAGATATATATGAATAAACTGAGATAGATAGATAGATAGATATAAATAAATAAACTGTGATAGATAGATAGATAGATAGATAGATAGATAGATAGATAGATAGATATGAATAAACTGAGATAGATAGATAGATAGATAGATAGATAGATAGATAGATTTAAATAAATAAACTGTGATAGATAGATAGATAGATAGATAGATAGATAGATAGATGTATTAATATATTGAAACATTTTTCTGCCCACACACATTAATAAACAGACACAGGGCTAAACTGATACGAAAAACAAGAATGAATACAGATTAATATAAGCGCATGCGCTTTGACGTTTTTCCGCCACGCATGCGCTTTAATTGTTTTCCGACGCGCATGCGCTTTGATTGTTTTCCGACGCACATGCGCAGATGTACACACATATCCCATCGCATCGCATCAAATCTTTACATGAAAAGATACGCATGAACATCTGAGATAGAAATGTTGCTGTTAAGAGAGAATTTTCTTCTGAAATTGAGTGGGCGAGGAAAATGTCTCTGACCTCTTAACGGATTCTGAGTACTGCAAAAGATGGCAGCTTTCAGACCGGGTAGAGTAACACGGGTCACGGCTAGTGATTAAATGTGTATAGGGAACGTCGAGGGCGCAATGGAAATGATGGCTACCATTCACATCCTGCAGTTTTCGCTTCGGATAACAGTCAGTCATTTTTTTTTTTTTCGTAAAGGATCGCTCGGCAGATCCCACTCGTGAATTCTTTAAAACAATGAGCGCATTGATTCAACAAAAGTCATACGTGCATTGATAACATTCCAGAATTCTTTCAGACTAACATCCTCATCTTTATGATCTGGTAAAGAGTCGAGAATTATTTAAGGAAAGAGAAAAGTGTGCTGACCTTTCAGTAATAGTAGTAGTAATGTTGATGATGATGATGACATTAGACATGTCTATTATTATTATTATTTATTAATTAATTAATTAATTAATTACGGTTAGGCTAGTTGATTTTACCACATGCCATCAATGTCGAATTTTGTATGGAATACCCAATTCACTATTCAGTAGTAATTCTTAGCCTGACTAGCTCGTTAACCATTACCCTAACCCGTAGCACACAGCTGTTATTTATTTTTTTTTTTTTAGTGTTATTTGGTATAAGGCTATAAGTATGGGGGATCCAGTGAAGATAGATTTCGCAACTCAATTGTAATGGTCAACCAGACTGGCTCGTTAACCATTACCCCACGTTGCGTTGCTTAATCCAATATGGCTCGTTGCATGTTACTTGGAGAGAAGTTTGGCAGAAGCGAAATTTCTGTGAGAGATGTCATGTAAAAGAACGTCTTTATGCTCCGGCAAAAAGTCAAGAATTATTAAATATTTAATAAGTATGACACAAGGTCAAACAGGAGCAAAAGTGAAAAAGAGTGTGCGAAGTGCTTGCGTACCAAGAAAATTAAAAATTTGAAATCTTGGCTTTTCGGTATATGCTTAACTACATGGCTAAATGGCGTGTTGCGCCAGTCAACCAATTGAGAAAAGCCAGACGGTCACGTAGCTGACCTGAGGTTTAAGAAAATCAACAATTTAATTTTTGAAGTCCAAATAAATAACTAATGATGGGGAATCAGAGATAGGAAGACTGTATTGCTCCAGTCTTTCAAGTTAGTCAACAATTCGAAATTCTAGCTTTTGTTATTTACTAAGTTTAATATGACTATTTGACGGAATGGTTTACTGCACAAAAGAGTTTACAACAGGACTGTCTCGGGTCAGCCATGTACTTCAGCTTCTACTCGGAAAGAGGCTATACAACGGCCAGCAGATGAATTATCCTGGTCGGAATTTCAACAACCTCTGCTATACTAATGATGCCGTTCTAACTGTAACCCCGTCAGAGACACTCCAAACATTGCTTGATGAGATGGAAAGAGTCTCTGGTGGGTTTCGGCTAGAGATCAGCACCAGAACGAAAAAGGTCATAGCATATAATTGGGTAACAGATACAGTTAAGCATTCAGCGCTGAGGAGACTTGCTGACTTAAGTTAAGAAATTCAAATACCTAGGAAGCGTCATTGAACAAACAGCGAATAGTAGTCATGAGATCAGGGCTCGATTAGTGGGGTAGCAAGGTCTGCACTTAGGCCTCTTAGCACGCGCTCTTCACAAAAGCATTAAGAAGAAACTCCTGAAGACCTTAGCGTGGTCGGTGGCAATGTATGGCTGCGAAACCTACAAGACACTTATCCTCAGGGCCCAGAACGTAATCTGCTGGTCTGAAGATTGCGGTCAAGCATGAAACAGCCTATCGGGAAATCGGTGTTGACTTCGGTGTCTAATTTTATATTTACACAAACCCTATCTATTTTATATGTTGTGGCCTGTTTAGGGGCCAGAAAAGAAAAGCACGGAAGACGAAGGGAGGTTGAACAAGTGTATTGAAATAACAGATATATACAAAGCAAGAGTGTTAATAAATAGCAGATAGAAGTGTCCGTACGAACGATCAGCTTACAGTGTCTCGACTGTCCACCGACGATATTTATTCCTGTTAAAATCACAGAAAATGTGGCACAAGGCCTAGAAAGGTGAATGGGGAAAAAGGACGGTCTTCATCTGTCCTAAATAGGATGATCATTATCTGTCTTAATTTTAAAACTTAGCTAGTCACAAACACTGACCCAATCATACGAAACAATATTCCTACCACCAAAACAACACATTCATACTTACCTTTCTTACTACATCCACCAAAATACCCCATTGTCTCAATGAAAATCTTAAATAGGATGATCATTATCTGTCTTAATTTTAAAACTTAGCTAGCCACAAACACTGACCCAATCATACGAAACAATATTCCTACCACCAAAATAACACATTCATACTTACCTTTCTTACTACATCCACCAAAATACCTCATTGTCTCAATAAAAATCCTAAATAGTCCCCATATGTACAAATCGTTGTCTGGTGGGGGGGGGGGGTATAAGCAAATTAAAAAATCCCCAATGAATATGTACTACTGTCCAACGACTGCCTTAGGAAGTCTCGCAGTTAGTATTTATGAGAGGAGGAAGAGTTCATTCTACTGTAGGAGGGTTTACCACAACATTATATTTACACAAACCCTATCTCTAAAATAGAGTACATTTAGCCATAAATATAACATATCTCAAAGCTATATTTTTTATCATATACAGGGTGTCCTTAAAATCTGGATACATAGGCAAAAATGCATTTTTTGCAGAACTTAAATTTTCAGCATTTTGTTGAATTGGAATATAAACAACAATTTTACTATTTTAATCACCAGTTAATTACCATCACCTGAAGAAGTACAATCATAGTATCGAAACATGAAAGCTTTTGTGTAGCGATTTCAACGGGTTTTTTATTATAATCTCTTATATTAAAAATAATAATAACATATTGTTCTGCTTTATATCGAGCACTTTTTTTAAAGTAAATACTACGAACTGTGGAATTTTACACCATCTGTTCTTCCTCTCATTTGGATATATATATATATATATATATATTGCTTATATATATGTATATATATTTTTTATATATATATATATATATATATATATATTCTTATGTCTTTATTCTTACTTCAATCTGCTTGTCTGAATCGTCTTCAAGAAGCGAGAGCAAAATCTAAAAGGTCAGCCAATCTAACAGTGATCTCATCCCACTATCCTCACTCTTGCTCCATATGTGGCCTCATTTGTAAATCACTTGCGGGTCTTAAGTGCCACTTAAGATTATCGCACAAAATTTCATAAATGAATCAACTAAGCTGTCAGATCCTCATACGTCGAAACCGACGGGAGAGTCCATTATTATATATATATATATATATGTGTGTGTGTGTGTGTGTGTGTGTGTGTGTGTGTGTGTGCATCGACTAAAGGCCGACACATAGTTATTCGCTAAATGTTGATCTGAATGTTTCAGTGTATAATGCTAAATCTTTATTATTAATACGTATTATTGAATTAAGTGCATTGACAAAGAAGGAGATTATTTAGAAATATAGTTTTAAACCGACATTTTTAAGCGACTGTATTTGGCCTCAGATAAGGCGAACATAAGAGGCGTATTGTTTACGGGAGTCTTGCTAGGTTTGGGATGATGATAAGCAGAAAGAATGGAGTTGAGTAACAGGAATAAAAGTGATATAACGCCTCACACTTTTTTTTTTTTTGACCCGGGAGAATCATAAGTTTATGTCTTTTTCGTCGTCATAAAAAAAAAAAATACAGCAATGGCTGGCATTTGCAGTACAATTGCTTCTGTATGCAACTCCTGTATTGCAAAGATGCAAATAACACAAGGACGCTTTCAATTGCAGTCATAGCAGAATGTAAATTAGGTGACGGCCGTGCATATCACACACACACATGCATACATATATATATATATATATATATATATATATATATATATATATATATATATACAATTATATGGTGAAATTTAATTTATATAACAATGAATCATTCATACAAAAAGTAAATTAGTAAAGTTAATGAAAAAAAATGGCGAAATCACTTCACTAACTAAATTTTAAAAATGCATTAACCCACTAACAACTCGATGAATGTTATGATCCTTGTTTTTTAAAATTATAAGCTGTATTAGGGCTTCCTTAAATATGCAAGTACTTTCGACAGGTTCTCCGATCATCATCAGGCATGGAAACTATTTTCTTTTGGGTAAAAAGACAAGGACCATAACATTCATCGAGTTGTTAGTGGGTTAATGCATTTTTAAAATTTAACGAAGTGAATTCGCCATTTTATCTTAATAACTTTATTAATTTACTTTTTACATGAATGATTCATTGTATTATATATAATCGACTCTCCCGTCGCGTTCGACGTATGAGGGTCAGGCCGATAAGTTTCCAGGAAACCGACATCCCGACACCGGCACATGAGATTTGATTATAGTGGTGAAGGCCTCGTGCAGGACCATCCACACTTTTTGAGGGACGAATACAGAAACCTGGTGCACCGAATGCCACAAGGTTCCCAAACGACCCTCCGCAGGTTTTGAATTCAGAGTTGTCCTTCTCCTAGACCAGTTGCCATCCAAGGCTATAGAACCCAGTCTGTCCTGCTATTTTACCCATAGGTGGAGGGAGATGAAGAGGATTCATACCTTTCCCAAGGGTATTAGCACGTAAGTGAATGGTAATAGATTCGACTGGAATTCGAACT